GGGTAAGAACCTCACTTCTTCAGATGGAAATTTCCATTACTTGCATCTGAAGAAGTGAGGTTCTTACCCACGAAAGCTTATGCTCCCAATACTTCTGTTAGTCTCAAAGGTGCCACAGGACCCTCCGTTCCTCAGTACAGACATCTTGAACCAAATAGTAGCCCTCATTCATGAAAGGGAGAATAGGGACATTTATCAAATACATGGTGTTCCTATCCTCTATATTCTGACTCGGAAAATAATAATGCTAAGGATGTTTCTCCAGTTTCTGTGTTGTTCAAAATAATCTAGTTTAAGATTACTGGTATATTTATTAGCTAAAAATTGTTTTGTAAAATATTTTTCCAGACTATTTGGCCCTAACGTTTACTAGGACTTCCTAATACTAGTAGCTTTCATTTAAAATGATTAGCTTAGAACAGTGGCTAATGTGTGTGTTCAGTAACTACTTTTTCATAAGAAATGTCTCTAGTTGTTTTAGAATATAGCGTTTTAGGCACCTCCAGTGGCTACATGTTGTTTGTATTGTGCAATGTATTACAATAAAAAATACAAAGACCATTAAAGCATGGACTGAAGCCTCTTCTAATTGTACATCCCAGTGGGGAGGATAATGTACCATTCCACTGTTACTCAGGACATGGAATACAAATATACACATTTTTCATACAATATGTGTGAGAAGTTAAAAAGTCTGTAATGTTTTCCATTTTTAAATTGCTTTACAAATATTTAATAAACAGATTTCAAATCACCCATTTGAAATAGGTAAGGATTAACCACATTTACAAATGGAAAAACTGAGTCAGAGACTTTGTGATTTATTTAAGATCACAGGTACAATAATGAAATGTTAAACTGCATTATACTGTTTGGTCACTAGGTACTGCTGCATGAAAACACCTTATTTAAGATAACCTCAGCCATACCTGGCAGAGCATTAAAAGATCTTATGATGAACACATCTGGGGTGTATAATAAGCAAGCTCTGTAGCCAGTCCATATCTAGTACAGGAATGTGGTATCAGGAGTAAACTAAGACCAGAAACAGAAGGAAAATAGCAACAATGTTGCAAACAGAAGGAACAAAGCAATAAAGGTTGCAGGATCTCATCAGCATGCCACTCTTTAATGCCCCAGAGAACTGCAGCTTTGACAGACAGACTGGAAACAAAAAATATACTGCAAGATTTCATATTGCTATCCAGCTGCACAAAGAAACTGGAAATATACAGGTATCAAATCACCTTTATGCTATGGGGAAACAGAACATATCTTTAAATCTTTTCACTTTACTGAAGACAGTCACAAAGATGACTCTGAAAGGGTTCTGGCTATGTTTGATGCATGCTTTATACCTCAGAGAAATGTGGTTTATGAAAGAGCATGTTTTCACCTGAGAATTCAAGAATGAGGGGAAAATGTTAAATGTTTTATAAGAGCGCTGCATACATTGGATTTGAGGAATGCAAAACATGAAAATACCAGAGACAGGCTGGTTATTGGGTTAACAGAAAAAAAAACCTTTCACAGCAGCTATAGTTGAAGAGAGATTTAACCCTAGCCACAGCTATTGAAATAGCAAAACAGTCTGAAATGGTGAAACAGCAAAACAGAGAAATTTGTTTACAGTTTCTAAGCTAGTTTCAGTTTTTTCAAGTTTTTCAGACATTTGAGTGTTAAAAGTCATTACCATAAAACCCCTGAAGCAAAGAGCACAAACTCCCAGGCTAAGAGGGACAAATTCCAGCATAGATGCACAGGATGTGGAAAAAGTCATATCCCAAGAGATGATGCGTGTCCAGACAGATGCACACAGTGTAATACATGCAGGAAATATGGACATAATGCAGGTGTTTTGTCACACCAAAGCAGTCTGGAAGTTGACTCATATTACAGACAAACAAGAGCCATTGTTTCTGGGATCTATCACTTGTGATGACATAGAGCCTACATGCAGAGTGAAATTTAATATTTATGGCAAGACTCTTGACTTTCAAACTAACTCAGGAGCCGATGACACATCATCTCAGAAGGAACTTACAATCACCTTCAACCCCTTCTAGAGATGAAGTGGCACAACTCTGACTAGCCCTGGAGATATTCTGACTACATGGTCCAGTTCACCACAGAAACAACCTACATAGACAAAAGCTTGCATTCAGAGTGCATGTGACTAAAGGATCAAAGACCAACAACCTTCACAGCTGCAGTGTGGCAGCCATGATGAGCCTAGTGAAAAATAAGAAAGAACCTGATGGAGGATTTGATGATATTGTACTTTTGAAAGGACATCCAGTACAAATCAACTTACGATAATACTGAACCATACAGTGTACAAACACTATTAGCAGAGAAACCTTGAAAGAAACTAGCTGCAGGATTTATGCAAATTTAGATGACATCATTACCTGGTTGTAGTGGGCTATTTTTCCAGGTATATAAAAATAATGTACTTGAAAGATATAACATGTTGCAGTATTATTGAGAAATTCAAATGTACTTTTTCTCACATCAGTATTCCAGAACAACTAGTGACAGACAATGGACCACAGTTCACTGGAGCAGAATTTAACTGAATCCAAATGAAATATGTTTTTGACCATATTACTAGTGGCCCATGTTATCCACAAGTGAATGGAAAGGCTGAGAGAGCTGTACAGATAGCCAAGAAAATCCTACAGCTGGAAGATCTATTTCTTGTTCTTCTGAGTTACAGATCAACACCAATAGTGGCTACTGGATATAGTCCACTACAACTCCTGATGAAAAAATACCTCAGAATGATTGTTCCAGTTTTGGAAAAGAATGTATCTCCAAAGTGCCCAAACATGAAGAGAGTAGCCAAGTCAGATAAAAAGGCTAAAAGAGTTTATGAACATTTTTACAACAGACGTCATTCAGTTAGAGAACTGCCGGGTCTACAACATGGTGACTGTGTTCGCGTCAAATTGGATGGAGAAAAAGGATGGACACCTCCAGCTGTTGTAAAGAAAAAGAATCCAGCACCCAGATTATATGTGATTGAGATTGGCAATGGAGAGTTCAGCAGAGACCACCAACATCTACAGTTTCTTTCCTCAGAAAGAACAATCAACAGAGCAAATGCTACAGATGGTAGATGCAGAATAACAAAAGAATACTAAAAAATTCCAAACCAACCACAGCCTGTCATTGAAACTAACAGACAGCTAGATGACTAAGTTGTTATACATTTGGATCATATAATTAGTAAACCAGTATGATACAGACACACTTAACAGACTGATACGTACTGAACTTCAAAGACAATGCGACAGTGTAAATATTGTAAATGGGTAGGAATATAGAATTTAAAGGGGGAGATGTAATGGAATGCTAAACTATATTATGCGGTTCATCCACTAGGTGGCACTGTGTACAAACTACAGTAGAACCCTGTTTATCCCACCGGCATTATCTGGCTCTCCATATTAACCCAACAACCAGCACACACAGGTCCAGAAGCGGGCAATCTCTCCTGTGGCCCTAGATGGCGCTGCAGCCTCACAATTTCCAATTCTCTGAATTCTCTGAATTTTTGATTATCCAATCTGGCCCTGGTCCTAATGGGATCAGATAAACAGGGTTCTGCTTATTTACACTAACCTCAGCCATACCTGGCAAAGTGGTAAAGGATCTTATGATGATCACATCTGGTGTGTATAAGCAAGCTGTAGTAGCCAGTCCATATCTGGTACAGGAACATGACAGGTACAGAGGCAGGATTAGAACTCAGGCATTGCTGACTGCCTGTCTTGTGCTCAGAACAGACCAGACCTCTCCCCTTAGACCAAATGTACTAATAACATATTGTTTATAGCTACAGTTGCTCTGTATCTTGCTTTCTTATGTCATAAATACTCCTGTTTTTTTAAAAATGTACCTTCCCCGAGCATTCCAGTAGGGACCCAAACCAAAGCCTCAGATCTGAGCACCCCTGCAAATTTGGATATTCGAACTGAATGTTGAGATTTAGGCCCATGTCTGATTCCAGTAGGCTCTATACATCCTGCAAGGCTGCCCTTGAGTAGATAAAGAGTTCTCACCATCATGAAGACGAAGGGCAGTGCGATTAAGACATTAGCGATGGCGAAGGTGCTGACGCTGGCGCTCACCAGGAAGGCCATGCTCACGGCTGCCAGATTTGTCAGACTGAGGGAAAGAACATACAGGAAGAAAGATCCTGCATCCTGTTTCAGACCTGTGTATGATGACAGAGAGAAAGTGACTCAGTACTGTGGGAAGGTCTGGATTCATAACAGGCATTGCCATGGAATTGCTACAGTATAAGGTGGTTCCCAGTACAGGACTCCAACTTGGCATTTTCCGGAATTAAAGGCTTCATAACAAGCACTGCTTTCAGTGCTGGATCCATAGAGTATCCTTCCAGGACAATGTTGTGAGAAATTTCCCATGACTAAATTTTGGTTTGTATTTTGGGCATGGTTATGACAAAGTTCGCTGGGTCCATGAAGAATTTGCAAGTGGGGCCGTGAGTGCCAGATTTACCACTAAAGAGCTGCTAGAGAGTGCTCCCCTCAACATGTTTTTATTTACTGGAAAGCTGGGCCTGTTTTCATCCAAGTGTATATAATCATGCTAAAATTAGTTTGGCTGCGTGGGTTTGTTTAACTCTTCACATGTCTCAAATATCGAGACCATCTGATTGATTTTCCTGCACTATTACCGAAGCTCTGGGGGAACCTTAGAAGGCCACACTGCTGGAATCCTGTCGGGAACTGATACAGCATTGCTTTGTGAAAACTCAACCAACTGGAGTCAGAGCTAGTGGTATACTAGAAATAAGATGATTTTGTGTGTGGGTGTCTTATTGAGGGGAAAGAAAAAATGACGAACAGAGGCATCCTGGGAAGTGCTATACAAAGTTTGTATATAAGGAGATAATTTTTTACCTCTGATTATGAGCAATGTAATATAACTGCAAAAATTAATAACAAAGCACAATCACCACAGAAATCTGTGCAATGACATTTCAGTCTTGCCAGAGTTTGATATTACTATCAAAGTTTTTGTGGCATTTTCCCATGGTGATTTTAGTCCTGAATCACTTCCTCAAAAAGTTGCTGAGCTAAAGGAAATTCAGTACTTACCCATCATGAAGTACGATATGCCAGAGAACATCAACAAGGGGATGATACGATTGGGAATCAGATCAGCAAACACTTTGGCCAGAAAATATGCTGAGGTCCTGTAGTATCCCCTGGAGCTCTCATGACTGGAAAAATGTATGCAATAAATAAAAACATTGAATATCAAAGTATCTACTTCATATATTTATGATATTTAACTCTATAACCACTTTAGCATTTCAGTCCTTTCCTTACTCCCTCAATTTCATCAACTTCCGCCTCCATCAGAACTTTCTTCATCTCCAAATAGATATGCCATTAAATAATTAGTAAGCACAACATCCTGAAGAAAAACTATCACTTTCATCTTCATCTTTGATACACCTCTCTCATTTACCCTTACTTTCTGAAACATATACATTCAGCTTTATCTTCTACTATTTCTGCCTCCTGTCTCTTCCTGGTCTGTAAATCTTCCTATCACATCTAAAACATCACCCACAGACGATGCTATCCTGACTTCTCTTCTGATGAAACTCTCCTCCATGCCACTATCTCCTCTTGTCTTACTGCTTGTAACTTCCTCCTTCAGTGGTCTTCCTCTGACCCAAATTTCAATTTGTCCAAAATGTGGTGGTCAGTCTCTTCATCCATATCTAGAAATGTGAAAACATCAGAAATCTTCTCCAGCTTCAAGCTTCCTGTCTGCTTCAGAATCCAGTAATACAATTTCTCCTATTCAAGGCAGGGTTCTATCTTACTTTCATTGATTGCAAATGATATAGGATTATACCTTAAATTCTTAGATGAACTTGCCCAAAACACACACACATACACACACCCTCTTTTTTTTCTTCAAAGTAATCTTTCCCTTTTCTGTAACCAGTCCTCGCTTTCCTCAAATATCCAATTCCTTTCTTTCCCCCCTCGTGGTTTCTCCAGAGTAGGATGTAGAAACTGCACCTTTCCAGTATTTAGTCTTTTCTTTCTGAAATGTGTCCATTCACTTCTCTCTGCTATTACTCTGCCATGTCTGTAGATGCTACTTGCATGCTATACTGTGACTCACCGAGCAGTGTCCTTATATTTGCATGTATACATTTCAATTGTCTATAATTGTATATGTTTTGAAATAATACTGAGCATTTTAATGTTGGGAGCTGAGCCAGACTTTCTCAGATCCATGATCTGCTGGCCACTTCTAAGGTTCAGCTGGACCTAAATTCTATGACAAGGCATCCTTATTTCTGAGGTGTTCCGGTGTGGAAATCTGGAAATTCTGTGGCGAGGTTCAGAAAAAGTGCACAATTTTTTTAAATGAGTGAAACTTGAAAATGAATAATACAATCTATTCATTATTCCGGTGTCATTTTTATTTTGATGTCAAAATCAAGTCATTTCACGCTGCCCCAGATTTTTAGTTTTTAAATGCTGCTGATTTTGGTATTGAAAATGCATAACTGTTGTAAAAGCTGTTGGGGAAGCTGAAGATTTGGGTAACAGGACAGGGAACAGATGGGGCTTTCGGCATCTTGGGAAGGCATTGGAGATAGTTTGGGATCTGACATCTACAAGGCATCTGAGGCTCTTGGCATTGGGAGTGGGGATGCATTGTCTCTTTCCCTTCCTTTTTTAGACAGATGTGGACATGATTTGAAATTTTGGGAGGGCTTGATTATTGGAGCACAATTCTGTGGTGGTGGGTAGATCTGCAGCAAACTCTGCAGCCACAGCCAGTTTATGCCTGTGTCCAGCATTTTGATTTGAAGGAGTTTTAGAGTCACTCACATGAAGAGTTTTCTCTCATTGATGAAGAGCTCCACTGCAGACAGATTCCCAAAGACCTGATTGATGACCAGGAAGAAGAAAGCTCCCAATCTGCAGAGAAGGGAGGAAAAGGAAAAGAGATTTATTTGGAGTTCTCTGCTGGACTTGTACACAAAGGGTAGAGAGTTCTCTCATGCTTTGTACTGCTCTCACATTACACTGCCTTGGAAGTTAGGTTTGGGAATCAGATCCTCACCCAGGTAAGTATTCAATTACAGGTGGAAAATTTTGGAGTCTGTCACTGTCCTTCCTACTGGGAATATTCTCTGATGTCTTCAGCAGATTTTGGTTCCATATAAGGTTCCCTCTCCTAACCCCTTGGGTGCCCCAGGATATTATGCTCACTTGGGCTACTTGAAAGGAACTTGTCTGCATCTCTTCATTCATTCTTTAAGTGTGTCACTCCTTTCATCTATCCATCCGTCCTCCCTCATACTACCAGCTGGAGGAAGGGACTAAAGACTCTGTTCTTCCTCTCACCTGTTCTGAAAGGCTTCAGGTAGAGTGGCAGGTACTTGGTAGAAAATGAGCCCCACCAACACAGAGAAGAAAGTGCCCAAAAGGAGCTGACCAATGGATGTCTGAGGATTCCTCAGGATGTTCTTCACATTGCGATTGCTCACAACATACAGCTAAGGGAACATACATGAATACATAATTTACACATACATAAATTAAATCTCCTCCTTGAAATATCCCAGGTCAGTCCACTGGACTTGATTTTTTATTGCGGATTCTTTACAACCCTGGTTTGAGTCCTGATGTTCTCTTTGTTTTTTCCTCTGCTTTCTCCATGCTCAAAACTGCATGTTGCAGCTACCCGCTGTCCTAGCAAAGGAAACTAGCTGCAAGTCCCTTTCAACTGCACTCTTCATAGGGATTTCTCTTGAGTGAAATGATGCTCAACCTCACTCCCCAGACACTGAGCAAGACTGAGCCCTCCCAAGATGTGCCTGCTTTAATTGATTGGGACTATGACCCAGACCCACACCTCATGGATGGCAGGTGCGTAGCAATAGCCACAGGACAACAGCTTCAGATTGGTGTGATATGAATTCTTTGAAACCAAGTAGTGGGGCTTTCCCAGGCTCCCACTGAGGATCATGTGCAAGCTGTAGCTAGGGAGCCTGCCTCTAGTGGAGAATCATAGAATATAATCTGGAAAAGTTTAGCAGCAATCTCACTTTAGAATCATAGAATGTCAGGGTTGGAAGGGACCTCAGAAGGTCATCTAGTCCAACCCCCTGCTCAAAGCAGGACCAATCCCACTTTCATAAAGATGGCTTCTAAACCAGACACAGGTAAATGTCAGAGAAACAGTCTCTCCATTGCCTACAGCAATTGTCCGTTCACCTTTACTCTGGGACAATCCCAAACCACTTAACGCCCTAGAGCATACACGTTTTACTTATGTATCTTCACGTATCTATCCTTATTTAAATATTCTTCAGTCATCTTCAGTAACAGTTCAGTGCACTATAGCAACTGTAAACTGCAGTATTCTGGATAATTACTGTAGACTACGGTAGTTTATTTTTTTTAAGGTATCTGACTTCTAATACTTAATTTTCTGATAGGCTTTTAAACTGTCCTCCTTCCCTGTAGATACGTCATTTTGGTGGGATGATATGTGTAAAGGTTAGGAATTGGGTACATTTGTGCATGCCAGAGAACATTGCCTTATTTTCAAAGACTGTAATAGCAGTAGAGTGAGCTCTGAAGCTCTTGTCATTTGTTCACATATTCGCTCGCACAGAATTACATTTGCAATCAGAGAGAGACTGTGTGTTTGATTTTTCTCATGATTTAAAAAAATTAACACCACGCTCTCAGTGGTGCGTTCTTTACAACGTCCGGCTGCCTGTGCCTGAGATGGAAGTCATGGTCGTAGGTAAATGTTCACTTTCTGATTTTTGTTTGTCTTCCCCTCTTCCCCGCCCTCCCCCCACCCACTCAGTGTACTGGGTGACTTTGTAAGATCAGGTTTCAGAGTAGCAGCTGTGTTAGTCTGTATCCGCAAAAAGAACAGGAGTACTTGTGGCACCTTAGAGA